TACATAGCCTTAAAGTTCCGTCTTTCTTTCTCACAAACAATACTGGAGCTCCCCAAGGTGAAGTACTAGGCTGAATAAAACCCTTATCCACTAATTCCTGCAACTGAACTTTCAATTCCCTCAACTCAGTAGGAGCCATACGATAAGGAGACAAAGATATGGGATTAGTACCTGGAAGCAAATCAATAGTGAACTCCATGTCTCGGTCTGGCGGCAAACCAGGTAAATCCTCAAGGAAAACATCAGGAAAATGTCTGACTACCCTTACATCCTCCACACTACTAGGAGCAGCATCATCTAACACCATATGAGCTAAGTACCCCTGGCAACCTTTAGATAACAATCTTTTCGCTCGCATAGCAGAAATAACGCCATGTCTCACCCCACTCTGCTAGTCCACAAAAGTAACCACAGGTAATCTAGGACGATGGAAAGTAACTATTTTCCCGTAACAATCAATATTGGCACGATTGAAATGCAACCAATCCGTGCCCAGAATCACATCAAAGTCAACAATATCCAACGGGATAAGATTAGCTGGCATAATAACATCCTCCACCATCACTGGACATCCTGGGTACACACGATCTACAATACATATCTCCCCTTTAGGCATAGCAAACTCTAAATCATACCCTGGAGGTGTAGGGTGAGGTTGCGTCACTTGAGCAAATGTATGAGAAATAACAGAATGTGTAGCACCACAGTCAATTAATACTCTAGCAAAATAACCAAGGATATTTAATGTACCTATGATCAAGTCTGGATTGTTTTGAGCGTTCTACAAAGAGATATTGTGAATACGCCCCTGGGTCTGCTGCCGTCCACCACGACCTCTACTCGTCTGGCCACCACGACTCTGTGCACCACTCCCCTGACTGGGCTGACCAGACTTCCTCGAAGACCCCGCACTACTCGCAGCAATCTCCCCCTGCTGAGATTGTCCTCCTTGAAACCACTGAGACCCGCATGCTGGAACTGGAGGATACGGCATATAGCCGCCAGAATACTAGGGATAACCACCCTGAGAATATGGATCCTGGGGATATGGATACTGTCCTGAGGCATAAGGAACAGCATCGCCCTGATAGTAATAGGCACCACCTCGACTCGTCTGCCCGTAACTACCAGGACCAGGAACCTGCTGGATCGGTGCGAGTGGTGGCAAGAAAGTCTGCTGGGGCCTCTGTTGACTCTGAGGACAATTTGCAGCCCGATGTCCCATCTGCCCACAAGTAAAGCAACCGCCCCTGCCTCGCCTGCACTCACCAAAATGTCGATTATTACACCTGCGGCAAATTGGGGCCCAACCTCTACCAGCAACACCCTGCCTCTGGCCTTTAACACCACCAGCAAACCTACCACCACGACCTTGACCAGTGGTGCTAAAACCACCGCTAAAAGAGCTAGAACTAGTGCCACCTCTCTTAAAGCTCTGGGTTTTGCGAGGTCCGAGTGACGCCTGACCCTTGCCCTTGTCATCTTTCCTCTGGTCATCATCTTTTTCTTCCTCCTCACTCTCGTTGGGCATATTCTCGGAATCCTTAATTCTCAATAGAATCTCATAAAACTCCTGGTAGGTATCATAAGGGGTAGTGGTCGCCATCGAACGCCACTTCTTCTTAGTGCCCAAACGGAAACGACGAAGCATCTCTGCCGGATTGCCAGCAACATCCGGATGATAGCGAGACAGATCAGTAAACCTCTGGTAATACTCGTTTGCTGTCAACTTCCCCTGTCTCAACTCAGTGAATTCCTGCTTTTTATGATCAATATACTCAGGAGGCACAAATCTTCTCCTAAACAGCTCTCTGGGGATAAACGACGAACCTCCTGCTCCCACTAGGATGCAGAATCCTTACCCAAAAACCACGATGTCGTCTCAACCCACTTCTCAATAGGGAGATTCCTTTGATTATGCAGAACACGAAAGGTCTTCTCAATATGTTCTAGCCACTGCTCCGCTCCCTCAAAGCCCTCGTGGCCCTCGAATTTATCCAGCTTCAGATTATACATAGTCTCCAGATGAGTCCTCTGGGGAGCACGGAGCGCCGACTGAATAACTGTAGCGATAGCTTCCCCCAGCTGAGCTACATCAGGGAAACGAGGCTCAGCCGAGCGACGTGGTTCCCTACGAGGCGGCATAGTTCTGACGGAAGACACCAAAACCATTAGAATACTCATAAAAGTACAGGACTGCCAAACCTAGGCTCTGATACCAAACTGACGCACCCCGACCGAGATCAGGGCATGCTAGCCATCACGTGGAAGTGACGTAACCATGTACACAGTGCGGAAGCTAATAAATAATAATAAAAGTACAAATAAAAACAAACCTAGATATACACAAAGTAAAGAACATACATGTGCAAGCGTAAGTGTGAAAAACAAAGTTCATAGCACGAAAGACCTAGTGCAGTCCAGGAGAAATAACACTAAATAAACACACCCAAATGTGGTCCTACACTGGTGATAATCTGTCAGATAGGCCGGGAAAAACCTCTGGGGAGCCACCAAAAGCGCTAGCAAAACTAGAACCTGGAGGGGCGCAAAACAGAAAGCGTGAGTGGGCAAAAATAAAGCTTTTCAAAAACCATTTCAAAAACAAAGTTCTAACCCCTCGTCGTAAAACCTGTATACTTCCCAGAAAAATAGAATATATACATATATGTAAATCATGCTCGGAAATATGCCATGCCAAATGCCTCGAAATAAAATGCAAGTACTCAGGTAATGCCAAACAATGCCATGTAATCTATCAGCCAGAGTCACCTAATGTGACCTGTACGGCTGAATCTAGAGCTTAAATCTCCAACTCACTAACTATACCTACACACGAGTCGGAACCACCTAAAGTGGTCTGTACGACATGACTGGGTGTATAATAAGTACGCTCAAGTGCTACAATCACGTGAAGACTGGGCGAATAATCGCGGGTCACTTACGAGTCGAAACCACCTAAAGTGGTTTGTACGACAGGATTGTGCACCTAACTTGGACCCAAGATGAGCGTGTGGTACGGGAGGTGAACATCACGTGAAGGACTGTGCCCAACTCTGGGCGGGAGCATTAACACCGGGGGTGCAGGTTATGAGCTCTCTATGCATGTCAAATCACTACTGAACATAAACATAAACCATAACTTACCTGGCACTTACCTGTGCGTCCGCAGGATCAACACACATATATATGCAACTAATAATGCATAATTAAATGGGCAAACATAATGCATGGCATATAAACGTATAAACGTTTCATTTCACTTTCTAGGAAAAACATAAGTATATAGGTATATACGGAAAACCAAAAACCCACTCACTGGTATGTAGAAGGGTCATAACCCCCTTGCCTCGAGTGACCGCGCTCGTCCTCGGGATAGGTCTCACCTATATGCGAAACAACTATAAATACGTTAATTTTAAAGCACATAACCAACATTACGAAATAACTTCTCATACAATGCTCAAATGGGGTGTATGAATACACCAGCGTGATCTACTCAACCTCACGAACATCCCTATATTTTTAAAATAATTTTCCGACGTCGTACACGCCCCCACGTGCCAGCCAAGGCACGGCCACACGCGCCACCCACGCGCAGGCACGTGCCTGGCACACTGACTGCGTCAGTTAACGCCGTGAGGAATATTCCGTTAAATCTAACTGATGCCGTTAACGCCGTTAGGAATATTCTGTCCAAACTGACAGAATATTCCGTCATCTTCTCCGGCCAAACTCCGGCGCCGGAAAATCGGGAAATTTTCTAAACTTGATATCTCACTCGTTTTTCAACCAAATTTCACAAAATTGGTACCAAAATGAATCTTACAACAAGAGGAACAAATCCATACCACTTTCAAGCACTAAAACCCACAGAATCTCACCGGGAAAACACCACCAACTCCAACCAAACCTGCAACTCACGATCCCGACGTCCAAACCCTTCAAACGAACCACCTCGAGCCTCCTAAGGACCTCACCAAGCTTCCTACAAGCTTGAAATTCCCAAAAACACAAGAATTAACGTGTGCATGAACAGTGACCAAATCGGGGGATCCCGAGTTCAACGTGAAAACGAAGGTATCCTTACCTGAAATGGGTATGGTTGAACTTCTAAGGACCTCACGAGCACGAATATGTAGTTTGTTTCCTCGATCCGTGATGATTTCAAGGGTTTGTGGTGTTGTCCGTACAAAAAGGATAGGATATTTTTCAGGTAGAGAAGACTTGGATTTGGACCCTGCTTTGTTTTGCCAATTCACAGAAGGCTTCTTTTGCATGATCGTAACTATAGAAGGCAGTTTATACGAAACTATCTTTACATGTTTCCTTGTTTTTATGTTTCCAAGGGTACATGCTTATTTACTTGTTTCCTTTTTTTTCATTGAGATTATAGATATTTTATGAAACTACTACCTTAGAAATTTATGTTATGTGACGATCGGTGACTTATTCCCAAGATATACAATCCTTTCCTTTTTTTTCCTTTTTAATTTAATGTAGTCCTTTTCTTAATTAGGAGTAAATCCCTTACGATATATAAGATCTAACATGCATAAAGAAAGTTTACGCAAAAAGATTAGTTCCTTGTATTGTATATCAAGGATAGAATGGTATATAAATAAGCACAGCTCTTCTGCATAGTCTGCCATTCTGTGTTGAGGGAAGCAAATATGGCAGGCTTATTTGCAAAATCTGCTTCCCTCTTTCTTATTAATCTTGTTATTTTCTTATATTTATCATGCTCGACCGCCAATCTCACGGCCTCCACGACCACAACTTCCGCCGTCAAAACACCAAGCCGTTTTGCCACAAAACTCATTCACCGTGATTCGGCTCTCTCTCCGTACTACAATCCTAATACAACCATCAAAGACCGTGCTATAAGCACATTGAAACGGTCCAGGGCACGCTTAGCATGCTTGGGAGCAAAGGCCGGTTTTTCCAGTGAAGATGACACCCGTGCTGGTCTTGTTGCCGAGGACAGTGGAGCACAATTTATGGCCAATTTCTCAATCGGTGAGCCACCAGTTCCACAGCTCTTAACCATAGACACAGGGAGCAACCTGTTGTGGGTTCAATGCCTTCCTTGCACCAAGTGCTTTGAACAAACAAGTCCGATTTTTGACCCTTCCAAGTCCTCTACATACAACCCATTACCATGCTCATCCCCATATTGCACAATTTCCTCTAGTGACAAATGTGACCCCTCAAACAATTGCAAATTCTCTCACACATACCTTGATAGCACCAAAGTAGCTGGACTTGTTGGGACCGAAATTTTCACCTTTGAGACGTCCGACGAAGGCATTAGCACCGTTCCGAATGTTGTTTTTGGTTGTGCCCAGGACAATGATGGTTACAACGGGCAGCCTAGTGGAATAATTGGTCTTGGCCCTTCAAACATATCTTTGGCAAACCACATGGGGTCAAAATTCTCTTATTGCATCGGTAGCATAAGGGATCCTAACTACCCTCATAACCAGTTAGTCTTAGGCGATGGTGCAAAGATAGAAGGCACTTCAACTCCACTAGAAGTCTACAATGAACTTTACTATCTAACCCTAGAGAGCATCAGCCTCGCAGAAAGGCGGCTTGAGATCGATCCGGAAATCTTCAAGAGAACAGAATCAGGCACGGGTGGAACAGTCATCGATTCCGGAACAACAGTATCCTTCTTAGCCTCAGGTGCATACTATGTGCTTAGAGATGAAGTGCGTAAGTTGCTTGATGGAAGATTGGAAAAAGTGGAAGAGCCTGGTGTTCCTTCAGGTTTGTGCTACAAGGGGAATATAAGGGAAGATTTAACAGGGTTTCCAGATGTTGTGTTGAACTTTGCAGGTGGGGCTGAAGTAGGGTTAGACGTAGAGAGCGCTTTTCAAGATTATGGTGAGGGTGAGTTTTGCATGGCAGTGCAAATGTCTCCCGAGGGCAGTGACTTGAACGTTGTTGGGATTATGGCGCAGCAGCATTACAATGTTGCCTATGATCTTGCGGCAAGCCAGGTTTATTTCCAGAGGATTGATTGTCAACTTCTTGATGATTAATTTGGGCTTTATTGCGCATTACGTAATAATAATCAGGAAAAACAAAGTAATTAACTGTTACATTGATATGTCATGATGTGTTTTTTATATTAAAATAATTTTTCATAAATTTTCGGTTTAGTTGTTTTTTGTTTATTTATTGATTTATAAATATGAGAGATGTGGTTAAAGATAGATTAGTCTCTCTAATGCTGTATTATTGCAGCTTTTACATAAGGGTTTCTTTATGTGATCTAACTACACAAGCCCAAAGTCTAATATTATATATGTATAATTTGAAAGAGAACAAAATCACTTAACATAAGCCCCAGAACTAAGATAAGATATGTCAAGGTTGTGAAAGGCACTAGGCATATATAGTTGGGTGGCGGGCAGAAACCTAGCGCTTAGGCGTCTAGGCAGGGGCCTAGGTGGCTTTTTAAATTTTACTAAATTTATTGTGTAACATATAAACATTGTCTACTTATGTTTAAAAAATATATATAATTTTATTGGTATACATAAATTGCAAAATAGAATGACATATAAATTATACAATAATAGAAAATATTGAAAATATGAAAAATAAGCATATAATGAGAATTGCAACATAGGCGGGTCATGCATGAGTCTAAGCGGTTGGATGGGCTATTCACTACTTGTGTGTAATATATTTTTATTACTTATTTAATTAGTGAATCCATGCTGCTCCCAAATCGGGATTCATTGAGAATTTTCATGCTCCCGAATATTCTGGCTCTCAAATCTCTATTCAACTATGCTTCATAGCTCTACACTAAGAGGACCGAACAGAGAGTTTGACCCATAAAGTAGTGAGATGAAAAAGAAGGCCCATCTACCAATTGCATCTTCTTAAGATCGATTCTAAACTTTCTTCCTTTTGATTGTAATCATCCTCTTTTACTATACAAAAATGTTAACTGTATTTTGCATATCACCTTTCTAATAGAGGTGGGACCTACTTGTATTGGTGAACCCTATCTCCGTTAAGAGAACAATTTAAGTGGTATGAGTACAACACCTCATGGCATACGTGTCATATAATATAAATCATTTTCATTATCAGAGAGGTGATACAAACATGATAAGTTTGTATCTCAATAGTTGTAATTTACTCATGCTCTTCCTATTTATAGCAAGTTGTACATTTGTAATAAACTTGTAATCATGGCTCTCTTTGTTGCCAAAACAAAACCAATTCCGCTTATGGTCAAACTCACGCACCATGATAGCATCTTGCATCCGTATAACACACTAACAACATAACAAGTACGGATTAACACCCTCTCATACGTTGTACAGTTACACTCCAATTAAATTTATACTAGGAGCTATGAGAGAACGATTTGCACAAGAGATTCTTACTCCTGAGAAACTCTTCTAATGTGTGTACATTACATGCTAGTGCGATTAAGTTGCAAATTGAAAACGTTAATGCAAAGCCGGGCATAGTACTTGGACCTGAAACTCAACCATGATGGCTGGCAACATAAGTGATCATCTCTACAACTATAAACAATTGAGGCACATTTTAATGTTGGAGATCACATGGAAAGGGTAGTGTTTATTGTTGGAGAGTTGACCTTTGTAATTAGCTTAGTTACCTGTTTGGGTCCTTGTAATTAGGATGTAACTAGCATATATATTACTTGGTGTTTCTTTCCTTGTAAATCAATCTTGTACAATATATATTTCCCTCCTTGGTGAGAAGAATAATATCAGAAAATTAAACCCCAAAATAAGCCCTAATTAGCATGGTATCAGAGCAGAGATCCTAGGATTTCTGCTCTGCTCGTTCCCTCAAGCAAACTTGGCCCTCCCATGGAGAACCTACCACCACTCCACAATGGAAACAATTTCATCCTAACCGATCCTACCCCTATACTAAACACTACTACCCTAACTGACCTTACCATGAATCCTCCTGTTTCAAGTTCTTCCGACATGCCTTCAGAGTCCTCAGGTAATTGTGGTTATGCTTTTAATATGAATAATTGTGATTCTCAGTCTGATTGGATCATTGACTCCGGTGCCACAGACTATATGACCTATGACCCTATTGATTTAGCTTGTGATATTGTTCCACTTCGACAAAATATTACTAATGCTAATGGTGTCACCTCATCGGTAACTGGCGCTGGCACTGTACACCTCACGTCTACCCTCTCTTTGCCGCATACACTACTTGTACCTTCACTAAAGCATAAATTGATGTCTCCTGGCCAAGTTACTGAGCAATTGAACTGTTATGTACTATTGTATCCGAAGTTTTGTCTTATTCAGGATATTCTCACGAAGGAGATAATTGGTCGTGGTACTAAGAGGGGGGATCTCTATTCTGTGGACGATGTCAGTATAGGATAAGTTAATTCTCGCCCAAGGAGCCTTTGATCATAAACGGCGTCAGATATGGTTATGGCATCGCCGTTTGGGTCATCCGTCTTTCAGTTATTTACAGCATATGTTTCCAGATTTATTTGTTGGTTGTTCAGTTTCAGACTTTAAATGTGACACTTGCGTACTTGCTAAGAGTCATCGTGTTTCTTATCTGTTGAATTCTAATAAAAGTGTTATTCCTTTTGGCCTTGTTCATTCGGATGTTTGGGGACAATCTCCGATTACTACTTCATCTGGTATTAGGTGGTTTGTAACGTTCAAAGATGATTGCACACGGATGACATGGTTGTACCTTCTTAAGCATAAAAGTGATGTGTTTTTGGCGTTTAAGACATTCCACACCATTGTTCAGACACAATTTTCTACTAAAATCCGAATTTTGCATTTTGATAATGGTGGTGAATATGTTAATAATGATTTTACACATTATTTAACTAATCATAGAATACTCCATGAGACTAATTGTCCTCAGACTCCTCAACAGAATGAGGTGGCTGAGCGCAAAAATCGCCATCTATTAGAAACGGCTCGATCGTTATTGATTAGGGCAGATGTTCCCCGTTCCTCTTGGGATGTTGCTCTTCAGACTGCCACTTACCTTATGAATTGCATGCCATCCAAAGTATTGAATTTTCTTACACCTTTGCAAGTTCTTGCTACATTCGTGTCTTTACCGTCCGTTTTGGTGCACCCACCGCGAGTTTTTGGATGTGTTGCCTTTGTTCATCTACATAAAAATCAATGGACAAAACTTGACTCATGTGCTCTCCGTTGTGTTTTCATGGGGTATGAACTACATCAGAAAAGGTACCGTTGCTACCACCCTCTTTCATGTCGGATGTATACTACCATGGATGTTACTTTTTATAGAGTCTGAGATGTATTACTCTCCGGCTTCTTCCAACCTTCCTCTTCAGGGGGAGACACTACATGACGAGCAGGTTTGGACCATGGTTGCTACCATTGATCTTCTACTGCCACTATTAGCTGAGCCAGTAGCCGAGCCCGTAGTGGAGCCCAACCAACAGAAGCAGCATCACTGCCCACAGAACCAGCGGTAGGCACAACAGTGCCGTCCTTTCCCACGGCAACAGTGCTGCCACTTGTCAATCTTGAGACTTCTACTGATACTATTCACCCTTGTCTCAAAATATAGTTCCGCCAGATGACCATACTCTAGAGAATATTCCTGAGGTAAAATCTACTATCCCTATTGATGTATCCGATGTTCCGAATTATCAGTTACCTTTCAGGCACAACCAGGGAAAGCCACCCAATCCATATTCACCAGAAACCACAAAAGGCTCTAAATATCCCATTGCTAACTATGTGTCGTCACAGAAATTATCAAAACTTGGCAAAGCTTTTGTACAACAAATATCCAATGATAGCACACCAAGTTCATTGAATGAGGCACTATTTTATGATCGATGGACCAAGGCAATGGAGGAAGAAATGGATGCACTTTAGAAAAATCAAACATGGGATTTAGTTCTGCTACCCCGAGGAAAGAAGAGAGTGGGATGTCGATGGGTGTACACCATCAAGTCCAAAGCTGATGGGTCGATGGAATGATACAAAGCACGATTGGTGGCCAAGGGATACACTTAGACGTATGGTGTTGATTATACAGAAATATTTGCTTCAGTAGCAAAGATTAATAATGTAAGTGTGTTACTTTCGTTGGCGGCTAACTTGGATTGGCCATTACAGCAATTTGATGTGAAAAATGCTTTCTTACATGGTAATCTTAAAGAAGAAGTGTATACAGATATTCCACCTGGTTATGCATCGGTTTCACAATCCGGAATGGTGTGTAAGTTGACTAAGGCATTGTATGGATTGAAATAATCACCTGGGGTATAGTTTGGTAGGTTCCGAATGGCTATGAGGAAGTATGGGTTTAGGCAAAGCAATTCTGATCATACACTTTTCTTGAAACGTCGAATGGGTAAATTGACCGCACTAATTATTTATGTGGATGATATGATTGTTACGGGTGATGATAAAGAGGAAATCTCAAGCCTGAAAGATTACTTAGCAACTAAGTTTGAGATGAAAGATCTTGGTGGATTGAAATATTTCTTGGGTATAGAAGTAGCTCAATCTAAACAGGGTATATTTCTATCTTAAAGAAAATATGTTCTTGACTTGTTAGCCAAAACTGGAATGCTTGATTGTAAATCGGTTGACACCCCTATAGTCCAAAATCACCATCTTGCTTAGGGATGCCAACGGTTTGGTTTGGGGATGGAAATGCTATATCCATCCCCATAACCACGAAAATTAACCATATCCATAACCTCAAATTAACCATCGGAGATTATCCATAACCATATCCACCGGGTAACAATCCATCTCCGTCAAAAAGAAAAGAAAAGAAAATTATATTTATCCAATTGACGCATTATATATTTTAGTAGATACTAATTCCGTCATTAAAAAACAACATCCAATTACAAAAAACTAACAATATATTTGAAATTGTTCATGATAACATGCACCAATTTCTGGACAGTGTGACTCTTAAAGAGAGATGAATCTGATAAACTTGTAGTATTTGATAATTGATATATATAATGATTCAATGAATTAATTTGGTT